TGTGTTGTCTTGTCACATACAAAGCTCACGTTTCTTTTGAAAAAGTTCCAAAAATATTTACAACCACAATGAAAATGCACTTTTATTTTCTCTCATTTGCTCATTCTCGAATCCGAAGAAACGTATTTCATACTTTTATACACATATTAACATACATTTCCAAATATATATGCATGATAATTTTTACAAGTCCAATACTAACCTATTTACAAACTTAGTTTCTTTTGTACACCACTTTCAAAAAATTATTTTTTAAGGTAAATATGGTAGATACATTATAACAAATTACTATATGAACGAGTAATTGCGGAAAAGTTTACTCTATATCAAGCTCTATATATTATTCATCTCAATGTCATAGCTTTAGAGTACATAAAATTAACGAGAGAATAAAAATTATAGATAATACTAAAGAATAATATTCTACGACCGAAGAGTATTTTTCACACAATGAAAATAATAAAAAAAGTAACTTTCATTCTATATTTGTGGAGTTTATCATTATGTTATTTGCACCGATACTTTTGTACTATTATTATTAAATTGAAGCTAAAAAAATTCTTTCAATAGTAATATTATGTTGTAAATGAAAAGGATTATAGGAAGGTATTTAGAGGGGTTTTCTTTTTATTTCTTGTATTTTCTCCCATAATTTTTGTGTTTGTTTTTTTTTCCCCTGTTGTATTAAGTTTTTTTTTAACATAGAAGATAATATGTTCTATACTGTTATTGCATATATAAAAAAAAAAACAATAAAAAAGAAGCAGACGATAACAGCGGTGGAGCAAAGTTATAATTTGGAAACTAAACTGACGGAAATAATGTTTGTGTTACGTTTATATTATAAGGTAAAACGAATACCCATATGAGTAAGCGTGACAGAACGATACAATTTTGATAGACGCTAAAACAAAATATACTGATATATTAACGATTTTCGGCGTGTGGATTATATATTATTAAAAGTAATTTCTATAGTCTTTAGTTTTATTTTTATATTTATATTTATGTGTTTTTATACTTGTAATATCATTTGCGTTTATGATGTGAAATATTATTTCAAATATTTTATTTTAATTCTTTGTTCTCCTTTTTTTTAATTAGATCTTTTTTTCGTTTACTACAGATAATATAATTATAAATAAATACAACGCATACAGACATGATGTATGTGTACTTCATATTTATATGCACAAACATACCTACATATATGGAAAAAATACAATAAAAAATTATAGTTTTAATTCTGAGATGCTACTAATTGCTGTTTGGTGTTTTATTTTTTTTACCTAACATTTAACCAATATTTATATTTTATTATAATTCGGTTGTTTAATTTAATTTTAATCAATTATCTAATTAAATTAACATTAACATTTTAAATAATTACAATTTCATCTAAATTACATACGTATTGGTTTACGTTCAATATTGTGTTACTTACAATAACAGTTCTGGTGAGTCGTAAACCTTTTATAGAATTATAAAATAGTGTTTTCCACATTGTTTTCAAAACATATAATTCTATCACCTTTAAAAGTAATTTTAGTAATAGTTACGCAATTGAATTTGAATATACATATTTTATTTATGTATTATAATATTCTTTACATGATTTCAATAACACTTTGTAAATTTATATAGTAAGTCTAAGTAGTAAGTACTATACAAATAATTTTTAAAAATAGAACTAATCTTATAATTTGGAAATATACTGACGTAAATGTTAATAAATCATTAATTAAAATATTTGCATGAAATTTTTGTTTCAAAATTAGACACCTATTCAGTAAAATATGAATTTTTCGTTCCTAAAAAAATTTTCCGCAAAAACTAATACACAATTATTGTTCTTTTTATGGCTAATTCTATTATACCCTTTACAATGCCTTGTTAAAGTTTAAATGGTCTCTTTTAGTATTGTTTTTTATTTTCACCTCTAAAAATATAATGTAGCAGCTATTAGTTTGATTGCAATAATTGATAGTTTCATTTTTTTTTAACTTAAAATCCGGAATAAAATGAAAATATAATAACAATAATAATAATAACAATAATAATAAAAAAATTAAATATGTATTAAAATTTAATTTTTTCTCTTTGCTCTCTCACAAATCCAAAAAAAGTAAATAATGCAGTCACATATCTATGTAGAGACTTGAGTATTATACCAACCAACACTCACAAAAACAAAATTTTGATTTCAGCCCTCAAAATCCAAGTTTTCTTATGTTAAAAAAGCTTATATCAAAATTGTCAGGTACGCATGTATAAGAAATAGACAGCATGGTAAGTTTTTGCTGTGTTAGTATAAACTTATAATTTAAAAAGTAAAACATACATATTCATATATATTCTTGATGTGTGGGAGAATAAAATTGCTTATGATGTACTTATTTAATTTTTATTTTTCAATAAAATTTTTATTTTATTTGTGGAATATAAATTTGATACTTTTCGTTGTCTCAAAATATTCTGTTTATTGTTTTAATATGAACTGAAGTAATAATAATATAATACATATGTATACTTTGAGGTGAGAAAAATACTTTAGATTTTTTAAGGAGGAAATTTAGTTTTAGAATAGTTTTTAATAAAAATAAGAAATACAATTTTCATATTGTATGCAGTAAGTGCTGAAAAATTTTGTTTCAAAACTTTTAAATTCCGACCCCTGATCAAATAAAATATTTGTCCCAATATCAATTTTAAATGAACAAGAAAACTTACATACATATTTTTGTTTAAGTAACATGTACATGTATTGACGTCTTGTTGGATTGTTTTTTTTCTCAGGAATATGAATAAAGTTCAGTGTTTGTTTCTCAAAAATAAAAGATGAATATATGCATATATACATAACATATTCTATATGTATTCGTTTGTACGTAACGCTATTAATTTTCATAAGCAATTTACGAACTCTTTTTTATGTTTTGATGTGTACTTCTTTCGCTATAGAAAGTATAATATGTCAGAGCATAAAATGTGGAAGAAGAATAAGAAAAATGAGCATAAAACCAAATTCAACTTGACGTATTTGAACATCCAAAGCAACTATAGAAAAGCATCCAGTGAACAACAACAACAATATTGAAAATATACACAGTCATATAAATATTATGTGCTCCGTATTTTCTTATTTATTTTTATGATTTTTGTTTTTATTCTTCTTGTTTTTTTTATATACATTTTCGCCTTGTTTTTTGTATAATATTTTCTTTTATATTATAGTGAAATCGCGTAGCTTTTGTATTGTGCCATAAACGAAACACTTTTCATAACGCTAACAGCTTCGGACTAATACGATCGAAAGGCGAATCACAAAAAATTTGTATTTTATAGCCACTCATTTCAATTTTAATATAAATATACAAACTTTAATATACATTATATTAACTCTAAAGCTAACGTATAGGAAAACATAAGAAGTGAAATAAAATATTTTTTTATTATATTTATATTTTAATTCACAACCACCCGTCACTTATTTCGTTGTTTCCGTTTGTTGGGTGATGCAATGTGGAAATAATTTTCTATAATATAAAAAGAGAAAAACTTTTATTTTAAATGATGATATAAAAATTTAATAAGAAAAACATATGTAGTATATGTATATAAAATTATATGCACAATACAAATATAAGTAAGAAAATAAAATTTTTTAAAAATTAATAAAATTAAAAAAAAGCGTTTGTAAACAACTTATCTAAAATAAATTTAGACAACGAAATAAGACAGTTTCGAATATTTCAAATATAAAAAGCTAGAATGTTTTAATGATTTTCGGTTGTATTATCAATTTTGAACTTTGTAAACTGAAATTTATAAAAAGAACAAGAAGTAAACTAATTAAAAATTATTTTACGACCGGCTCGTAAAAATATCAAAAACATTTGATTTTTGGTAAAAAAATTAATACGTTGTACGTTTGCATAAATAAATAAAAATTTAATGCAATAAGAAAATAAGTGATTTTTAAATTATTATTAAAGGATTCGCTTGAGATTATGTAAAAAGATTTTTTTAATAAAAAAAAAGTAGTGTGTTACTTTTCTCTTGTATAATTATTATAGTAAACGGTAAAAAAATTGTGAAATACCATTGTTATTTAAAATTTAAAAATCTATTATGAAATCAGTTTGATACTGTAAGTGTGCTTATTTAAAGAAAAAGAAAAATTTTTAAATATTTAAGAATTGAAACAAAAGTATAACAAAATTAAAAAGCATGGCTTGAGTGTCACAAAAAAGTGTTAATTGTACAATAAAACAAAGAAATAAGCGTCCTAATATGTTTATTTAAATAAATAATTGGTAACTTATAACTTTATAGTCTTTTATAACCTAAGAACAAAATAAAAATTTACAAAAGATCAGTTTATAATAACTTAAACACGTGTTGTAAAACCATAAATATAGTTTTTATATATTTTTTATTTCTATTAATGAAGGTTAATTATAACGTTTATGACGGTTTTAAAATAACAAAAAATGTTAAAAAAAATTTAAGGTCATTGCATCTTCTTCATTTTAATATTTAAAAGAAAAAAATTGGGTTACTTTGAATAGCTTTTGTTTTAAAAGGAAGTTATATGCATGGTAAATTATAAAATAAAATTGAATGAATATTATAATTTAATATTTTGTAAAAACATAATTTTTATTCTTTAAAAATACTTTAATAAATTCAGAAAAAATAAAAGAACAAAGCTAAAATAAAAATGAATATTTGATCTCATTGTCGAAAAAATAAATTTGCTTATAACAAACGCAAATTTTTTTATATTGGTAAGAATTTTAATTTACTTATGAAATATCTTAATTTGTAACATTTAATAAGTAACTAAATACATATATACGTAATTGATATACCTAAATATTTTAAATAAAAAAAATTACATTTACTTATACATATAAAGAAATGCAAAAATTAAAATAAGTCACTTTGATAGTTTTTTTGTTTAAATTGTCAATCAAAACGTAATAAATATATTATAACATTAGATTTTAAAAAAAATTGTTCTTGCATCAAATTAACAAAGGAAATTAAAAGAGAAAAGTCGGAAAACGATTAAGCTTTATAAATTAATTTAAAAAAGAATTATGTGCAATGTCAAAATTTGTTTTTGATAGTATGCTACCAAAATATCCACAATTTCAACCATTTATAAGTTCGCACTTATCTACAACGCAAAATTCATCATCCGCCGCAGCAGCAGCTGCAGCAGTTGCAGCAGCAGTAGCATCATCATCATCGGCATCATCTTTATTGACAACAAGTATAAACGGTGGAATTTCATCGTTACACCACAATAATACACCTTCATCTGTATCATCCGTAATCAATAATTTAAATAATAGTAATAATAGCAATAACAACGGTAGTAATAGTAACAATCATCATAGTACAAATAACAATAATAACCATACCAGCAATAGCAATAGTTTAAATACATCTCATCATAGTGGTGGTACAACGACATCTAATTCAGAAGGTAGCCCATTAGCAAGTTCCGACGGTAGTCCGAATCCTCCGATTCCGACCAGTAAAATGTATCCATATGTTTCTAACCATCCAACTACGCATAGCAGCCTTTCAGGGATGCCTGGATTCTCTGGCTTAGAAGACAAATCTTGCAGGTAACGTTTTTTTCGTTTTTTGCAGTTATTAACTTTAATAGGGAATTCGGCATATATTTAACTAATTATAATTTTCATATCGAAAATTTAAAATAGGTATACAGACAGTGTAATGAACAGTTATCAGTCTATGGGAGTACCAGGTGGAGCTTCTAGTTTTGCACAATTTTATCACCAAGCTGCAGCGGCAACAGCGGCTGCTGGTGCCGTCGGCGTAGGTGTAGATGGTTTAGGTAATGCTTGTACACAACCTACATCTGGGGTTGTATCCACCGGCGGTACAGGATTAAGTAGTGCTGACTTACCTAGGTATCCTTGGATGGCATTAACGGGTAAGACAATTTTTTTTGTAATATTTTTCTTTGACATTGATCATAAGCATCGTGTAAAGAATTTGGGAAATTTTAAGAAATAATTTATTTATATGTAATTTTAAGAAATTATCTAATGTATTGAAAATTAACAGTTTAAAGCTATAATTCATGTTTTAAGAACTTCACTGACTGAGTTTTACTCACTAAAGTTTATTCATATAAATAAGAATACAGAAGAGGAATAGCCGAAAAGGAGTTTTTATCGTTTGTTCATTTTTCTTTTTTTGAGAAATGTTTATTTTGTTCAACTCGTAAACATAAAGATACTTCTTTTTTAAAGTAGATTTAACCCACACGTGTTTAATAAATTTTGGCATCACTGTTTATTGAATAGTTAAAAAAGTATAATTTTTATATAGAAACCATTTGAAGCTGATTCGTAAAGGTTTTCTTGTGTTACAACACCGTGCAATTAATATTTTTGCTATAATAACAGACCCGGCGTACGCCGTCTTGTCAAGTGAAAAAAAATGAGTAAATTAGGTAACATCTGTAAAAAACAACGTAGTTTTTATTGACATGTTTTGTTTTCTGGCGCGCAAATTCATAAGGTCAAATTGCATGATGTTTGGAACCCCATAGCGCTTTGACTTTGTACTGACCTTTCAAATCGTACGATATGTGGCCAAATGCGGTCTTGAATAATGACACCAATTTATTGTAGTGATTAAAATTGCTTGGAGCTGTTCAACATTTAGTCATTTTTCTAAATTTTTGTGGGCGCAACAGTGATCGTTTAGCAAGTTTAATTGTTCATTAAAGAAAATTAAAAAATTTGCAGTAACTATTTCATAATAAAATTTTTTATCCTGCATTTGCACATTTTAACAGATGTAATATAGATAATTCTTTATCAAAGTATTTCTATTGCCGTACAGCTAGCAAAATACCTTGGTCCTACTAAAAATATTTTATCATAAAAAAATAACGGAAAATATCAAAAGGTTTTAATAGATGCAATAAATTATTTACGCATATGAGTTAACAAATTATACCGTCTTTGGAAACTAAAAAATGATGTGGTGCGCTTTGCTTATTTATGCTGCAAAAGTATTAATAGCGACAATTTACTCTTCAACAATAGACACAACCGACAAACTTTCTTGTGACAAACTTTAACGATTTTCTGTCAATTCTAATCAGCTGTTAAGTTATTATAATTAAATACAGCTCGATGGGGATTAAATGCAACATTACTTTCAATAAATCTTTTTCGAGTTCTGTGGCCTTAGTTGACGAAAACATAATTTCATTGAAATAAGATTTAAATTTTCATTTATAAACAAAAAAAACATACTTTTTACGGTTTTTAATCCATTTAATAAAACGAAAATTTTTGAAATTTGTGACAATTTTCAAAATAAATACATAAGTATATACAAAGTTGTTAAAAAAATATTTAAGTATATACATACTTACATACATATGTAGATACATATATATATTAAGTTTTCTAAAATTTTAAATTCTACATCTATTTTCGTGAAACGACTTTCGTATTCGGAAAAATGGTAAGGTAGTAATCAATCAATTGGTATAAGGTACCCTTCCATTTCTGCAAAAACCAAAATCGTTTCACAAAAATCGAATTACATAGCAAATGCCCTGAATATTTTAATTATTTTTTCACTATAATTTGAGATATACATATATAATTTTTAAATATCATGTTCTTCAATATATAAGTTTATATACAACAAGTATGTTTATTACATATCTACACAAACTACGAAAAAAAAATCCGAAATAATAAAATATTAATATAAGTTAACATAGGTTTGGTTTAATTTAAGAAAGCTTAGATAATCGTTACTGGAATATACGTCTACGTTGTTCAGATGACAAATTTTGTTCGGCCTACAAAACGCAGAGCTATAATGCTTTGCAGAATAAAAAGTACTAATCAATTAAATTTGAAATATTATAAAAAACTACCTTCATTTTATGTATAATTACAATAGAATATCTCATTATGCTTATTCTAATAAAGTTATTTATAATTGATAATAAATGCCCAGTGAAGATTAAAAATGCTCTTATAAATATGTATTTTATAGATATTTTAAGTTCCAATTCTGTATTATGAAACGAAAAATTTTTTTTAGAATTTGTTTGGTAATTTTTAATATAAAAGTTTTTATTAAAAATAAATTTGAATGTTTCATTCAATTAATTGCTGATTACATATGTATAATAAAATGATAATAAATAATAATAAATAATTGATGAGTGTTTTTAACTTCATCAGAAAGAAATCAGAAGCTTGATATTGTTACAGAACATACTATCAAACTACAATAATAAAAATTCCGAAATACAGAAATAGATACTCGTATATATCTCTTAAACTTAATACAGTAGATATCGTATACGTTAATATTTATATAAAATAATAGTGTTAAAGTATTAAAATATAAATATAATGATGATCCGGCATACTCATTAAATCAACGTACGAAATTCGTTGGTTCAATATTGATTTTGTCGCAATCAGTTTTCTTTATGTTACAAAATCAATATCACATTGTATTTTTATACACCATAAAAATCGATGATCTATGGAAACTCTAAAATTATTTTGCATTGTTTTTCCATTAGTCATTATAGCATTTAACGGCATAAATTCCACAATTAGGAAAATTTGCTCTATCATTTGACCACACAAATTCCAGGGAATGAATATTTACATTACCGTTAGTGACGCTAAAAAAATGGTCTGAGATATAAACATCTCAGACCATTTAAATGTTATTAAGCCATAATATTAAAATTTCGAAGTAGTTGAAAGTTTTTGCACAAGCAAATATTTATTAAGGCTTTTGTGTTTGATAAAACTAATTGAAATTTCTTGACTTGTGGTGGTAGCTGCCATAAAACTGCGAAAGTCATTTGGTCATATATTATGAAAACTATTCAAATTACAGTGCTGTGCTGAAATTTTTCTTAAACAAATAAAACACAAGCATTACTTATGGCACAGTGTGGCAACCACTGTTGCTTATGGCAACAGGAGTTGATCTTGTCAACTGTACCTATTTTCGTCTTACTTACTTTTAAATTACACATAACTAATATAATTGGATTTTCAAAAATTATTTGTAATATTAATATAGGTATTTTTCAATATTATTAAAATGAAGTGACTATTATTAAAGAAAATTTTAAAATTTTTTTTTTGTAAAATGTACCACTCCTAATAAAATTAAATGTTTACATCTATTTAAAAAATTTAATTCAATTAGAATTTAATTTTTTAATGATGATCTAATCATAAAATTGTTATCTAGTAATGATTGCTATGAAACTTGATTATAGTGCCGAATAGAAAAACCCTTATCAAAAATCCCTCGCAACCGGATTTTCGGCAAATGAAACAATACACAGAGAACTCAGTTATCTGGCAGCTATTACTACGAAACTTGATTACAGTGCCCAACCGAAAAACCCTCACCAAAAACCCCACGCAGCCGGATTTTTGACTAATAAAACAATAAATAGACAAATCAAACAATTTTATACTATGGGTGGAAATATATTTTTAAAATAGTTTTCTTGTTTTCTTAATGGTTAATTTTGCATAATGAAAACAAACAAAATTGTTGCAGAATCTTTGTGACAACGTTAAAATGAGCCGAAAATAAACAGTAGCGTAGAGTGTTTATGAGTTCTATTATTTTTACGTTTGGCTTGATTTTTCAAAAATTTCATTTTATGCATTACCGTGTGTTTTTTTAAGGCAGATCAGTTTTGGTTTTACATCACATTGTTTATTTAAAAAAATACGTGCTTTACAAAAATTGTGCTTGTTTCATACTCATATTACAAATCATTATGATCATGGTTTGACTTTTTTTAATTTAAATGTGCTAGAAGCAAAATGAAATTTTGAAATTGAAAATTTGTCCCATTTTTTATAAATTTTGCACATGAAATTTTTTGAAAGCGCTAATCATAATGAAATTTTTAAAATATAAAATATTTTAAAAATTTCATTATGATGATTATTTAGGAAACGGAATTCTTTTGCAAAATATTTTTATATACGAATATGCATTATCCACATATGCATAGCATAGTGATGTCCTGAACTTATCAGATTGTCTTTGTTAAGTAAACACAATTTTTAAGGAACTTGAGGAAACAGTTCTTGTTTTCGTTGCAGCATTTCTAACCTAGTCACATCTGTTATGTGAAAAAATTCAATTAGCCGATTCTGTTGCATTCGATGATTTTTATATGTCGCGTTTTTAAAGAAAATGTATTTTTATATTCGTACGAACGTATATTCGAAGGGTATACTAAATTTGACTTACCGTTTGTAACTCCATGAAATAATTGTCTGAAATATAAATTCAAGCTTTTGATCAGCATCAAATTTTGAGAAGATTGAGCTTTGTATGTCCGTCCGTTCGTTCGTTCGTCTATCCATCCCAACAATAACTTAAAAACAAATTGAGCTAAGTTCACAAAATTTTCAAAAATTGACTTATTATAGTAAATGCCAGAACCCTATTTAAATTGGATGTGATCGGGCTACTGGTTCGGGTAGCTGCCACATAAAATCTAAATTTATTTGACTATATCTTAGAAACTATAAAAGCTGTTGTTTTGAAATTTCGCACAAGTAAATATATTAGTAAGTCAATTTGTTTGATAAAAGTCGTTGAAATTGCTTGGCTCCTTCTGGCAGCAGCCATACAACTTCAATAGTAGTTTGTCAATTTTACTACAACTGTAGTATTTTACTACATTTTGGATTCCATACTACCGTACTACTACAAAATCATTTTTACTACTTTTTGCCTTTATACTAGAAAATGTGATTATTTGTTTTTGTTTATAAAAAGTTCATTTGTTTTTTTTACAAAAATCATTTGTACAACAAAAAAAATAAAGTTTTTGTTTTTCTAAATTTCAAAATTATTTTTCAAAAAAAGTTTATATTGTTAATTTTTCAG